GTTAATTAACTTTTTTCTTTCACGTGATTGGACATCCTTCTCTAAAACGTATGCTAATTTATCTTGTTCTGAAGCCTGGGCTCCGTCTGTCCCTTTAGATGAGTCTAGTCTCTGGTCCACGTCGCTGAGGTCAGACAGTGACCAGCGTCTGAAATGCAGTTTAATCATGGCGGAGGGTATCCTCTTCAACGGTTATGATAGCGGTTGAAATGGAGACCACTCAAGTACGCAGAAATGTTTGAACAGCAAGGAAAGGAAAGGAAGGAAAGTTTAAAACCTATGGAATGTCGATTCTTACATTTTCATGGTTAAGCTACTTCTGACGCCTTTCTTTCCATGACGTTAGAAATGAGGCGCTGGTATACTTTTCTTACCATGCCTTATTTCAAAAGCAAAACCTACGGCAGCTGTATAACGAGAATAGTGTATGGTCTGTACGGAGTGATAGTTACGGATGATTTAGCAACCTCAGAAAGAAGAAAGACGAGTGACCCGACCGAGGCTGGTTGCTTTTAGCAAGGTCAAAAGTGTCCATCAGGCGATATGCTCAGATTCACACCTTTCAACTTGGTTTAGGTATTCTTGTTATACTATTTTTGTTGAGACGTTATTTTGAATATTAATTTAGCCTTCATTATATGGCTTGCTCTGTTGCTAAAGTAGCAATCGACTGCATACGTTGCCAGAAAAACCGGCCGTTGCTGAATCAGAGAGAAGTTAAACTTGGCTCCGGGAAGGAGTTAAAGGTCCACAGGAGTTCCTTCAGGTCCATGACAAGATGAAGTGAAGAAGTTCGGTGGATCACTATGGATAAATAACTGTTTTATTTTACCACCGGATTTACACGGCCTACAGGCTCTGTCCCTTGCTTCTAGAGGTCTGGAGGATTAATTGAGAATGCCAGGCTACATTATATTTAAGCACTTGCAGTGCATGGATTCAAATCGCATCACTGGGCAGTCCCGAAAAAAACCTTTTCGGACTCCTGCCGATATACCACTATCCGTTGGCAGTTTTATACATAAAAATAAACATCAACCCTATCGATTTACTAGCATATTGCTTATTTTCTTAACGGCTTATCGAAAACTGGCAGTATGCTAATAAACCGATAAGATTGATATTTTTATGAACAAGATGGATAAAATTCGCATTAAAGCAAAGTCTGTGTCAAAGTCTCGGTGATTCCTTTATCCAGCGATGAATCGAAAAAGGTTGATATTGAAGATAATGATGATGACTTGCATTAAGAGTTATGAACGGTTTAGCTCTGTTTTGCAAGCTCCGAATTTACTAGTCGAATTGTCACAGGTTCAAATCCCACCGACTAGTTTGAATTTCGTTCTTTTCAGATGAGCGAGTATGATTATGTCGGAATGGAAGCAGAAAATAGTGCTCTGCTATACCCTTCGGCTGCAGATATTCCTTCAGGGGTCGCCAGATCGGTCTCTTGCAAATACGGTACCACAAATTGGACTAGTCAACGAAGAATAAGGACGAGGAGCATCAGAGCTGCTTTATACGTTACTTTTCCGTATTTCTCAAAAAGCAAGATGGTACGCAAGAGATGTTTCACGTCTTTCACGTTTGGAACCCTCAACATTAGCGGTCTCGACCTTCGTATTTTCGAAGAAAAAAACAGCGCAGTATGCTCTCATTAATTTTCATGCCAGTTGTTTCAACAGTTGCCTGATTGATCTTGGTAACTGAACTCATTTTGATCTTCTACGTTGAAGTACGTACGTACGAAAACTTCCTCCGCCATGCCAGCGGCATATTATTAATTATAGTATAACTCAGGTCACTGTATGTCCCCTTCCCCATGTACCATGTTCATTGATATTGAACAAAAATCGTCTCTTCCTGATAGAGTGCATCGAGTTACTCATTTCCGCCGTCGAAACAACCGAGGACAATATGAAAAACTGGATCGCCGGCGTCTGACACTTTTCGTTACTCCGCGACGTAACGACGCCTGATTTAATAAAAACATCGGATGATCGAATTGCAAGCGACGATCAGAATAGAGATTTTTGAGTCTGCGGTTATGGGTGAGGTGGTGATGAGTAATCGGCGCTAAATTGGACCGATTCGTTTGTTGATTTACAGTGTGACTGCCGTATATTTGCCCGGTCGTTAAAGTTACGCGAAAATGTGACTGTCCATTAGCCATGGTTACCGCTCCACTGGATTTGGTTAGAGGCAGTTTTACTGACGATAGTGATAATTTTATTTAAAAGGCCATGATAACGAAGGATGATGATCCTGATTATTTTTTTTGCAGATGACACTGGCTGGGTATTTATGATTTGATGAAAATCTTTTAGTCAAGCAGCACATATCAACATATAAAGTGCTATTAAGAAGAGGTTTTGAAGATCTCGACAGTCCTCATGATAGATATGAGAGAAATAATCAGTGTTTGTGACCACCAGGATGTCTTCTCTTTTGTGGTGCGGAACTGATGTAGGTCTTGATATCATATCACTGAGTAGTATTTTACTTTCAAAGCAGGTATCCACACCCTGGCTGTTACTGCTCTGATGTCCTATTTCGTTTTTTCGGCGACATTTAATTGCGGACCTCGAAAGGGTGAAAGATGAGGTCAGTGTTACACGTGAATATTTCCTTAACTCATTTTTTACATAATAAACATATTCGAAGAAAATTGATTTTTGTTCTGGATTTTTGGCATCGCCACGCGAAAGCATTGCACTACTTCAGTTATTTGCAGCTTGTCAAGGCATCTTCGTCTGTTGGGAAGCTTGGGCCATATAATTTTAAAATGAATACCTCACTGAAGTAGATGGGAACTTGGTATCGAAAGTTTGCTCTCCCTTTGAACTTTAACCCAATCATTATTACGTAAGGTGCGAGAACAGAACGTGTGCGCCGCTTTCTCTCCTACTTAGTCATTTTCGTTCGTTTCTTGATCTTGAGCATCATCACAGTTCCCATAATCATTATTATCACTATCGTCATCAAGATGATCGGCGTGATAATAATCACTACGCTCGTTATTTGTACAATCAATCATCTACTGTACTGCATCTAATCTTCAGTATCATCATGAGGACTGCTATCAGTCGTTATCAGCAGGTCATTGAAATCACATTATCGTGATCGCCATTATTATTATCAACATGATAATCTTAGTCACCATCATTTTTTTAGTCTTACCACCATCAATCATCGTTTTCCATATTTGTACCATCATCTGCGTTATCACCATTATCGTCGATATCAGCATTGTTATAATTATCATTATAAGCATAATCATAATCAATTATCCTTATCATCACTATATGATTGGTCATAGTGACAGGACTACTAGCGTCAATATGAGTATTAGCACATCATCTGAAGCATCACTACCATCAGGATTATAGTCGCACTAACGATCACCGTATTTACGTCATTTTCTTGGTTTCTGTTTTCATCATCACATTATCAGGACTGTCATAATTCTTGATATCATTATGATCGTATTCTTTAGCGCCATCACAGTTAACATCTTCATTGTCTGCCTGTTCATTTTCCTGATCAATATGTCCTTCATCGTGATGGTAATCGTAACTACTATCATCAGAGTCGGCGTTATCAGAATTTCATCCTCGTCATCGTCGCATCATAATCATCACCACCACCTACGTCACCCTATTGATTATCAGCGCATAATGTAAATCATTGGCATTAACAGGAACTTTGTTACCATTAATGATTATCACAACTTCCAGTGTGTTCATTTTCACCATGCAGGATGAATCACCGTCGATATCAGCGATCTCTCGTTGGATCAACCTGCAGTGATGGGCTTTTGTGCTTAGATAAGTATTTACTGTCATAAAAATATTGGCTAGTAGAGTGATTGTGAATTCGATGCAATTGAATCGCGGCAGTGTTATGAGTACTTTGCTTAACAGACCTCATTCCTGTGATTTTCACTTAACGTAACTCAAGCTTCCCGTAGATAGCACAGTAGACTTCCAGTTCTCAGGCGAAACTGTAACGAGTAACGATTAGAAAAGGGAGGTTCCTGCAAATAAATGTTGTCTTGTGGCAAAATATTGATAATATAAAAGCAATACATAAAACAAAAATAAAAAAGTTTCTCAAGATCAGTTATTAACATGCGAAGATGTTTGCTTCGGAATTTTATTTCCTTAGCAAACATTTTAGTAAAACTGTCCTTCCGCAGAGTTAATCCCAGCCTGAGGCTGACTTTTTAGACTGAAGTAATGTTGATTGTCAAATGAAGGATTCATACATTAATGGTGGTCGAGTTTTTGTAATTTAACCTTGCCGTATCTTCGTTGATGTACCTTTACATTCGATCATATTTCATTGCTTTTATTGCAGTTTGTAACCGAACCTCATAGTTCCGAATCAGGGAGCTGACAACGCACATGGTCGAGTGGTCAGAGGTCCTTACAGTTTTTGAAGCAGTTCTCTCTAAGAGAAAGACATTCGTGCATTAATCCAGGATGAAAGAAATGGAGTGTAATCTCAGTAAAGCACGAGGAAAATTTCTAGCGAACAGATTATACAAATGGAAATTCTGACTCTTGGACTATACACTCTGATCGATGCATTGTCATATCTTTGTCATTTGCATATGCCAAAATCGTTGCATGTTTACCACCTGCTTCAAAGAACGTAGCGCAGCATTTGTATGAGTTCCTGATAGCAAACCAAAAGTTGTTTTTATGAATTTTTAGTAAAGGATATTGTCTTGAGGTCAGCTCGGTCGGTCATTGCACGAAAAATTGCCTGTACTTAAACTTGAACTTGTTTTTATCGACTTAAGTCATAATCGTTAGTTAATTTCGCTAATTGCCTTATTTCATTGTTGTCTCTAGCCCAGAAGGCAAAACGTGACGTCTGATGGCTCTGGTATCGATTCAGAGATCGCCGACGCCTAGTCCTACGCATGAATTACCTCTTATGGTACTTTTACGTTTTTCGTCATTATTTTTGCTAAAGTTTCTTTTTTGCTTAGAATGCGACCAATAAAATATTTCGATCTCATTTCGACAACAAGTCCGGTGATGCAGGCGGAATTGCCGAATCAGAGTAAGCCTAGTAAATTTTTGCGCGTTGGTTTGCGGCACAGCGACGGTAAGCACTGGCTACAGTCTGCATTGAATCAGTGATTTGTGGATCGATCACGAGTCCTCTCAGTGCAGTTAGCTTAGGAACGCGGCGCAGAAATCCGGCCTTCCCCAGAGAATGTCAACATCATGAACATTTACAGCAAACATAGGCAATACGTCGCAAGGTGCTGATTTGATCACCAGTGGTGGGCGCTGCGAAAGAGATGTTCAAGAATGAATCAGGAAGGGCTGATTTGCCAATGACTTGCTGCAGCAAAGTCCGTGGTAAACTGCTATCAGTACGTCAGTGAAATTCCGTATACATCAGGCAGCTATTCGATCAGCATTCTTGTATGCCGCAGCAACGTGATTTAATGCTAAGAGGGAATCCGATGTGCTAGATGCGTCAGAACGTGCCCGGTAGCGCATAATACTCGGCTACAGACTGATTCATTAGATTACAGGTGCTGAACTACTGGAGGGTACCAGATAAGGCAGTAGTTGAATAACTCATACAGGCATTCGTACTAACTCTTTCTCTGATGAAACAAAATGACTAAAACTCTCACTCTTCGGGTATGCATTACGACGGAATGACCAACCAGCGGCTGATCAGCATCTTCACTACGAGGAATTTATTGTAGTGACATCAAGCTTCAGGGCTTCGCTGTAATTGCAGGGGCATTTATATTATGAACACATTTCGACTCTAGAGTTCGGATCGGTGAGCTTGCATAAGTAGTCTTTAATAAATACCGTCAGCATTGCAGCGACGTTGCCCGTGCGTTAGAACCTCGTCTCATACCGACAAATGTAGATCGAAGTTCGTTCCAAGAATCTTTGCACATGTTTTCGTATGACCCCCAACTGCATGATGGCTACAAGGAATCTGGGGTTGGGTGTTTGACTAAGAGGGTTGTATGTTTGACTTTTATCGCCTCCATGTGGTACCTGCTGAATTCATATTATCATATAAATATGCAGTCATGATGCAAGTGACCAGATAGCAGCAAACGCATGGAGTAAATGGCCGGACGCCAGCCTCGCTGCATTTACGACTGCGATATTTCTAGTTGTCCAAACGCAAGGGCCCTTTACAGGGCTACCGCAGAATTTGCTTCGACTAAAGAAAAAGCTAAATATTGTTACTTTGAACTTGCAGTCCTTGAAAGATGAAGATAGGCAAGCTGCCGTCACTAGAACATTGAACAGTCTAAACGCACCAATCGCATGCCTCCATGAACCGGGATTAAAGACATGAAATCGCAAAAAGTCTACTAGTCTAATGGCCAGGCATCTTAGGTATTATTCGGTTCGAAGGCCGAAGAAGGTATATGTTGGTGCGGAGTTGCGGTGTATTCGGTCTACGAATAGGTTGTAGAACAGTGGGGCCAGTTACCTACTGATTATGCTAGACAAAGGTCTGCAAATCGTTCAGAGCAGCGGATTATAATCACTGGTATGCCTACGAATAATGCATCCTTACAGGAAATGCAGTTGTCAGGGTAAAGTTCTTAAACGCGTTAAGTGAGGCACTGGAAAGGCATTTGCCTATGACTACGGTGATTTAAATGACTGCCGCTAGCGAGTAAACATTCCAGTGCTAAAGAAAGAATGCACCTGTGAATCTGTTGGAGGAAGAACTGAGAAGCTGATGGAAAGCGGAAAAGAGCCAGACTCTCAGGAATTAAGGCATAAGCGAGAGAAGGAAACCGAAGTGAAATTCCATCTAATTGAAGAAAGGAATCTACTGTGGTTAAAATGAGCAGCAGTTACGGAAAAACGTTCAAACGCAACAACCTTAGAGGAGCGTTTGCTTTAATCCGGCAGTACAGCAGATGAATTGTCATTCTGTCTTTCATTGGATGGAAAGATTGATCACGCATACTCATGGAATTTAAATATAACGAGCGATTTCGGGAACATTTGCAACACCTTATAAACCGACTCATCCCGAACTGCTTTAGTGTCTTGTTTTCAATGAAGTATAACGTCTGATTTTGACTGCAGTTTTGACGTAACAACCGGCGAAGAGATTATGTATATCTAAAAACAGGGCAAAATATTAAAGCACTTGGACTAGATGAAGTTTTAGTGGGGCTGTTGAAGTATATGACTAATGTACGATTGCAGATGTTGTCGAACATCATTCAGGCTATTTTGGGAGCCGAGACAATACCGGAACAATGGCGCCAAACAGTGATTGTTACGATACACAAAAGTGGTGCTGCCTCGGATGTCCGAAATTACAGAGGAATCAGTGTCCTCTGCGAGGTCACTGAAAGAATTATTTTGGTTTGGCGGAATTGGACCCTACAGAGATAATTCTCCCAGTGAAGAATGGCTTTCTTACGGACCAATTCTAATTCAGGCAGCTTTTGATTCTCCTGACAGCAAAGCCCTGCACGAGTTGTTAATAAATGACGGTGCGCCAGAAAAAGTTGTTAACATGTAGAAAAACACATACACCAAGACAATGGCGGTTCTGTTGACAGGTTTTCAAAAGATAGCGGGTACGTCAGCGGTCGGTCATCGGACCTATGTTATTCAACAGTTGCACTGATGTCGTGATGATATATTCAGTTGCAAGCTTTGATATCAAAACGATAATTCAGCCGTCTCTCTCTGGTTACATTAAACTGATTATGTGACGACGTTGCGTTCATTGCAGTAATCCCGAAAGAACTTCAAAAGGCGTTGATGATAACGGAAACAGCCAGTTCCAAATTCGGAGTGAGACTGAAACCATCGAAAGGGAAGGCGCTTGTTTCGCGGTATGCTCCCAAAAATGGCGACATCATGAAAATTTGTGAAGAAGATGTGCAATGCCTCACGAATCTTGGATCAGTGAATACTAGTGATGGAAGTTGTGAAGCTGATATGCAGGAAAGAATCAGAAAGGCTCGAATTGCATGTAACATGCTGGCTCAGCACCTGTGGAAAACGGCTGTCAGTACTTCTGTGAATGTTCGTGTATGTCTGACAGCAATTCGACCATTACTGATGTATGCCGCAGCAACCTGATCCCTTACCAAGAAGAAAGCATATGAGCTGGACGTATTTAAATGCTCCTGTTGGTGCAGAACATTGATTGATGAGAACACCAGTGCACAATTGCTGGAGGATGTTACAACGAGTATGAACGGAATTCGCCGGCAGGGAGTAGTGTAAGCTCTCTCTCTGACGAATATAGGAATACTTCGCCACACACTGTGGCGGGACGAAAAGCGGCTGATTAAAATCCTGATTAGTGACTTGCTGAACTCATTCCAGAAAAGACCTTGAGGCAGGCCGACAACTTTATGGTTGGATGGCATCAGAGAGAAACTGTCGGAAATGCAGTTTGGCCGCGTCTACCGGCAAACTGCCTGTTATAAATGGTAAGTGGTTGGCTTGCAGTCATATTTGATTTTGCACAGTAGAAAAAAATGGCAAATGGTGACAAGAGTCGTGAATTGGTCGCAGC